CTCTTCTTTCTTCACTTTTTCATACCCTTCCCCCGCCCCCCGAATTTTTTTTTGTTTTTCTAATCACAGAAACCCGATTATGTTTTTTTTTTTTGTTTTTTTTTTTATGATTTGAAGGCACAAGCGTGTAGAAGGCCCCCGCACCACCCCCCTCCTGCCCCGATCCCGAACGCACCACAGCCTTCCAGGTGGGCAAAAAACCTGTGAACGGCCATTCATAGATTTCAGCCTCGGTGACTGGCCCGTCACGTTTAGGTGACTAGTGCTGCTCACGTTGCACTGCTTGCACAGAAGCGGGGTGTGCCGTTCACGAGCGTGTTGAGTATGGTGGACGAGCTGAAGCGTCTGCAGGGCAAGATGGAGAAGGCAAACATGAGAGAAGGTGTTACACGCACAGATATGCAATGTACGTAATAAACCGAGAATCTGCAATGTGATGAAAAGGACTGAATAGACAATGCGGTACGAGTAGAATCTCGACAAGCAATGTGCGTTCTCATTCATACATAAAGATGCTAAAGAGCGCAGGGAAGACTTTGATACAAAGACTTCCCTGACAGGACTGACCTCATTCACGTAGTTCAGAGTAACGAAACAGAATGCTAGAGCACCTCTAACTAGCCCAATCAATGTTTGAACTCAGACTAAACATGCATTGTATCCATCACTCAGTGTGAAGGAGCCTGACACTGTAACACAGGAAGCAAGCGCTAGGTCCAAACATACGCAGATGAAGAGATAGGATCAAACGAAAAGGAGGGAGAAGGATGAGAATGTCGTTAACACCAAGTCTTGGTCACCAATCCCAAATAGTCCCTCGTTGCCATGTCTGAACCCCCAAAAAGTCGAGTCTGGATCATATGTCACCAAACTCGGTATCTCTTCTCTCGTAGTCTGCAACTGCAGGGAAGTCAGAAGTTGAGAGGTAAGAAGAAGATGGGGGACTGAGAAGAGGAAGAAGAGAACTCTCTCTCTCTCACTGTTACGAACCAGGTTCTAACCTGTGATGTTGGCGCTGTGCTGCAGGTACCTTGAAGACGGAGCTGGAGCAACGGCGCTGCAGATAAGTAATCCCTGGCCTCCGCCCATCGTCTCTACCACTACCTAGCTATGGCGCCCAACGCTGAAGACTACAACTACCTACTGCGCCCAGCGCTGGAGACTACTAGCTAACGCTACTCTACTACAACGCAGTGCTCCCTCCAGAGTGCTGCTCCCGAATCCTGAAGACTACAACTGCCAACTGCCGGACTTGAAACTGCCTGGGAAGTCCTATGTACCACCTCAGCCTGCCTCCTGACTGCTGGAGGCCAGTCAGGCCGAGGAGGCAGCTCGTGCCAATGCCGAAATGTGCCAGGGGCTGGCGAGCAGCAGCCTGCTTGAGGCTGGCGTGGGAAACGGACTATTAATAGTCTGTTCCCGAAACCCTGGTTTTTTAAAGGCCGGTCGTTCTGATGAATGACCGAAAATGGCCCTTCGTTTCAGGCTAAAAAGGTTGTTGCCATTTTCAGTCTGAAACGACCAGGGATAGGCCCTGCACTTCAGGCTTTTGGCATGAACCGACAGTGGGCCTGTAAGCCCTGGATTTCAGGCTTTCGGCCTGAAATTCAGGTTTTCGGCCTGAAGTTCAGGCTTTTGGCATGAGCACCGTCGGGCCTGCAAAATGGCCGCCGGGCCTGCCAAATGGCCCGTGTGTGCACGCGCTGCATGTCACCCCCCCCCCTCCTTATGAAGTCAAGCCGGGGCGAGGGCGAAGCTGTCGATCTGAAGGTGGAACCTGGACGCGGGGGCGGCGTGGAGCCAAAGAAACCGGCTTGCCTTGCATCTTGCATTCGTAGCGTGCGAGAAAGTCTGGAACTGTTGCTTGAAGTTCCGCACGGGTTAACCAACGGTCAGCTCGATGTGTGGAATAGGCAAAATGCACCAAATACTCAGTTGGCTTGTTGCCAAAGCGTCGCTGGGAGATGATGTCGCCGACCTCCTGAAAACCATCCATAGAAGGTGGGTCTTGTGTTCGTCTCCCGGGAAAGTCGTCATGATCTGTACAGAGCCAATTTGGAGCATTGAAAGACTGGGTAGACAGACAAGTGGCTAGGCACCTGAATCGTGAAGGAGGGTCCTTCGGGTGCGTCCCCAGCGGGCTCTATGGTCGGCCAAGGCCCCATCCATTTCGGGAGGAGCTTACGAAACATCTTGTTCAAGGCTGAATTCCGCTGCTGAAACCCAGACGAGGTCCCCGACGCGGAATGGACAAGGAAGAAGTTGGCGATTTGCCTGTTGGCTCATGCACTACTGCGTCTTAGCCATCTGGTCGCGTGCCTTAACAGGCTCTTGCATCCGACACAATAAGAGAAGATGGTCGTCGCTCTCGGCCGTGCATGGAGTAATAGTGTCCAGCGGTGATGTGACCGGCGAGCCATGCTCGAACTCAAAGATAAACCCAATAGCCGGGTGGATGGAAGAGTTGTAGGCCAACTCAACATCCGGCAGTCGCTCAACCCAGTCTATCTGGTCGGGGCGGATGAGAGTGCGAAGGAGAACCTGTGCGGTCTGATGCGCCCTCTCCGTCTGGCCATCGGTTTGAGGGTGGCGAGCTGAACTGGGCTTGAGAGATGAGCCCCATCGCTTGATGAGCGCCCACCAAAAATCGGACATGAACCGAGTATCGCGGTCGTAGACGATCTCCTTGGGGTAACCCTTGGTGCGAATCCAACCGGCGTACAGAACCTCGACCAACTCCGGTGCCTTGGCATGATAGCGACAAGGCAGAAACATGGCGAACTTGGTGAGTTGGTCGACCACCACGAGAATCCCATCCACTCCGGTCTTGTGCTTGGGGAACGGGCCGGTAATGTCCATAGCAATCGCTTCCCTTCGCCGCAACGGGACTGGCAATGGTCGTAACTCGCCGTACGGACGATGGTTGCGGGATGTGCAGCGTCGGCAAACCTCGTATGACTCGCAATAGCGTGTGACGTCGCCGAGAAGGCCGGGCCACCAAAATCGCTGGCGAAGTCGGCCAATCGTGCGATTGACTCCAAAATGTCCAGTGAAGGGAGCGTCGTGGAACTTACCAAAAAGCCATGTACGCAAGTGAGGATCACTCGGTACGCAAAGAAGGTCCTTCCCCCGCGTGTGGACAAGCAAGTACCCCTCTTGGATCCGGTAGTGAGAAGAAGCCAGATTAGGAGAGGAGCAATTCGCGTACTTGTCGCGAAATCGGGGTCGGCTTGGTAGCCGCGGATGAAGCTGTTCCGCAGGTCGTCGTCAATCTCGAAGGTTGAGTAGACCGCGGTACAGTGATCCGGACGCCGTGAAAGAGCATCCACAAAATGGTTCACCTGCCCAGGAATGTGATCGGGAAAGACGTCGAACTGGTCGAAGAAAGCCCTCCATCGAGCGATGGTGCTGTTGACGGTGTCTTGTGTCTTGTAAAAGACCAACGGATTGTTTTCCGTTACCCAGCGAAATTGGCTTCGACCAAGGAGGAAGTGCCGCCACCGCTTGAGCGCGTGGACGAAGGCGAGGAACTCCTTCTTGCGTTCATCGTCAATGGAATGCACGAGGGACACTTTCTTGCTGAAGTACTAAACCGGGTGCCAGTCCACACCATCATGTTGCTCAAGGACTGCACCAATGCCATAGCCTGACGCATCCGTAATGACCAAGTAGGCGCGAGCGGGTCGTACATTCGCAAGACCTCTGCAGACAATAGCGCGGCTTTGAGAGCGAGGAATGATCCCCGCGCCTCCTCTCCAAAGTCAAAGCCGCGATCTTGGAGTAACCTTTGATGAAGCACTGACAGTAGCCGGTAAGACCGATGAACGAGCGGACATCCGTGACGTTCCGAGGCTCCGGCCACTCTTGAACGGCCTGAATCTTGTCCGATAGCAAACTGATGCCCTCCAGTGTGACAAAATGGCCCAAGTATTCCAGCTCTTGCCGGACAAATTCGCACTTGTCACGGTTGGCCTTGTACTTAGCACGGCGGAGCATCTCCAATACTTGTCGAAGATGTCCAAGATGATCCTCCAAAATCCGGCTATAGACGAGAATATCGTCTAAGTAGACCAGCACGAACCGGTCCAACATCGCACGAAACTCAATGGTCATCGCCGCCTGGAATGTCGCCGGGGCGTTGGTGAGGCCAAAAGGCATGACCACCCACTCAAAATGTCCGTACCGCGTCTTGAATGCGGTTTGGTAACGATCATTCGGCTGAATCGAGATTTGATGATATCCTGATTTTAAATCCAACTTGGAAAAATACTTCGCACCGCCCAACCGCTCGAGAAGATCGTCGATGCGAGGAAGAGGCCCCGCATTCTTGACGGTTTGCGCGTTGAGCTTGCGGTAGTCGATGCACAATYGTAKATCCTTGTTCTTCTKCCTGACGAAGAGAACTGGTGCTCCATATGGGAAGCTACTCGGGCGGATCCAGCCCTTGGCCAACAAATCATCGAGTTGTGCGCGGAGTACCTCAAGCTCCTCCTCGCTCATCCGATAGATGCAACCTTTTGGCGGCACGACACCGGCCCCAAGAATGATCTCGTGAGAGATCGGCCAACCCGGCACCACACCGGTAGCTGACTCGAAGATGTCGACGAACTTGTCCAGCAACCGTACCACACGGGGGTCCGAAGACAAGTCCGTGGGTGAAGAGTCGCCTACCGCGACGGTCCGTAGGAAACATAGGCCGATTTCCTCGGGCTGCTCATAAGCACAAGTCGCCCGGAATGTTTTGGCAATCACCACTTGGCACCTGATTGAAGAGTGCGGTAAAGAAATAGTACACGCCACTTCTGCGCCGAAGGCGTCGCGAACGCTAAGAATCCGCCGATGGAAGTTGATCGTGTGATCCGCACTCGCGAGCCAAGAAGGCATTCCCAGAATGATGTTGAAGTCCGTGTCGAGAGTATCGAATGTTACCAGTTCGCATGCATGAGGTGCGAAGTAGACCGGTACGGCCTCGATGTAACGGTCGAGAAGTTGTTGCATCTTACCATCCGCCAACTTGATTGCCGTCGGGTTTGCCTTCCTCACAACTTGTACGCCAAGGCCAGCTCTTTGCATAAAAGACTGGCTCATGATGTTGCGAGACGCGCCGCTATCCAGCAAAGCGCTGCAGGACACTTGCCCAACCTGAATGCGGACATACATGAGCGGTGCATTGTTATTATCGTACCGCTGCGTGCGAAACTCGCGGGCCACCTTGGTAACGTATGCCAGGATGTACCCCACCGCGACTTCGTCATCCGTCGACAAAGTTGGTGGTGCATAGAAGGAAAGGTAAGTATGGAGATGAGCACATAGTGCTGCGCATTGCGGTCCCGGCAAACAGCCTGTGGTCGGGAGAGGAAGCCATGCAAAGTCCTCAGACGTGAGCGGGTCCAAAACCTCTATCTTGAACTCGCGCGCCGAATCCCGTGACGAACCACTTGAAGACGATATGTCGCTGATGCCAGACGGAGAAGACACCGCACACACTCCTTGTCCTTGAGCTTGATTACCCAGAGTTAGGAGCCCGGCAGCATAGTCCTCAAAAGAAAATAGAAGCGGAGGACTGTCAACTTCCGCGTGTGCCTCGGAATGAAGGCTGGTCACTCACGAAACCAGTTCCAAAGGCGTCGAGAGTGTCTTCTCACTCTCGGCGGTGCTCAATTTTCCTGTCTGCCCTTGCCTTTCAATGGGCAAACCTGCGTCTGATGAAGATCGCTGTTGCACCAAAGGCAATAGTGGAATCTCTCGCACGCCTTGTATGCGGACTTGGAGATGCCATATGGGGTCCATGGGCCTGTCTGGGCCTGTCTGAGCTGCTGCACCGGGCCCGGGGCTAGAAACGGTGTGTGTCTTCGGCTTGCCGCGCCCTCGACCTCTCCCTGCGCACCACCTTCCCGGGCGGCTGCAAATCTGTCTCCTTCACTGGCAGACGCAGCCTCGCTGGTTTGGTCTAACGGCGCTGCCGCTGCGACCACGGCCACTCTTGGCCGATGCTGGTCCCTGCTCGGGCCTAACGCAAATGAACGGAGGTTCTTGGCCTCCTTGTTCGTGACGATGATCTGCACAGCCTTGTCAAATAATTCCGCCGTCGTCGTCAAGGTGTCCTCGACATGCGTCAGGGCATTGCTCAATGCCGGACATGACCTTGAGATGAAGTAATGGCGGATGGCCTTGAAGCCCATCTGGATGTCTGGGACTGACGTCAAGCGTTGGTACTCGTTGATCCAGTCCGTACTCGGCAGCGTGCCTTGCTCGTAGACCATGAGCTTGTCCATGGCTTTGATCTCTGGTGGCTCCACCTGGAACCGCTTGTGCCACGCCGCCTTCAGATCATCCCAGGTAATCTTGGTGTGCAAGTCGTTAGCTACCACTCCATACTTGGACAACAGGTTGTCCAACCAAGCCTGACACGCGCCCCCTGAGCGAGAGTACAAGTATGCGTGGTGCTTGTGTTCCTTGACGTTGTGGAGCTGCAGCATGAGCTCGAACTTGCGAAACCATGGAATTGGATCTATCTTGATTGAGTCGTGGAAGATCTCCTGCCCATCGATCTTAGGGGCTGTCTCGCGCGGCTCCGGACTCGAGGTGGCGGCGGTAGTGCAGATCCGCTGCTGCTAATGTTGCGTCGCGATCTGCTGTAACTGTGCGCCGTCCTGGAGGGAGCCGACGTGCATCTCCAATGCGGTGAGGCGGTCGGCAGTATTGGAAGAGCCTGCGTCGGCGGCGGCGACTGGTCGCTGCTCCACCCACTGAAGGCGGTCTTGGAGATGAGCTACTGAGTTATCGCCAAGGATCTCCGCCTGTTGTGTAATGCAGGTTGCCAGGGTATCCGTGAGATGCGAGAGGAGGAGCCCCATCTTGTTTGTGCTATCCTCCAAGTGGCTATTCTCGTCCTCACTTCGCCATTCTGCTGCCATGGTAAGTAATGCCCGCTCTCCGGTGAATATCTTCTCACGACGCTGTGTCCTTTCTTCATCGGCAGCCCTTGCTGCTGCCTCGTCGTGCTGGCGCTATTGTTGCACGACCAGCAGATGTGCCTGCTCGGCATCCTCTGCCCTTTTCTTGGCTGCTGCGGCAGCGTCATCTGCCCGCTTCTTTGTCTCGGTACTCCAGGCTAACATGCGGGCCTATTAGGCCTCGTCTGTTTCCCTGGCCTTCTGGTCCATGACTGTTGTCTGTGAGCGCAACAGTATAGACCAGACCGGTGCCTGCTGATGTGGTATCCCTTGCTGCTGACGTGGCAATGCTGACGTGTCCTGCTGACGTACTTACGTAGCCTGCTAACGTGTCCTGCTGACGTGGTCTGCTGACGCGGCCTGCTGATGTGGCAACTTACGAATGCCGTCAGACAACCAGAAACGGCAAGGCGAAAGATGGCAACAACATATCCCGATTTTTGCAAGTTTGGTAGGTCTCCCAACCTCCCTTGAAGTACGAAATGATCTCTGAAAGCGAAAAAAAAATTGTAGACCGTAACCAATTTATAGAACCAACTGACAGAATCCAAGAACTGCGAAAAAAACTCCGAACAAAAATGACAAGTATTCGGATTTATTCCGATGGGAATATTCGCAGTTTGAAAAAAAATAATACGTGAAGGAGGTATTTCCCGTACCGTTTTCAGAAAAACGAATTTCAGAAACGAATATATTCCGAACTTCTAAGTAACGGGAAATGCAACAGGAAATCGAAACTTTCAAAAAGAAATATATTCCGGATTTTTTTTTTTTTAACAACGATATTTCGAATTTTCAAAAAGAAAAACGAAAATAGGAATTTCAGATGTTGCAATAGTAGCGAGAAAATAAACTCCGAGAAGAAAAAAAAAAATTCGATTTTTTTTTTTTTAGTAAGGTCAAGATTGTGATTTTGGAGTCTAACTAGTATGTCCTAATCAAACAGAAAAGACTAACTAGCTTTTTGATCCCCGCACACGTGTCAGATCAGATCGTCCTGATGCTCGTGCAAAAGCTCCGATACCAACTGTTACATGCCCATATGCAATGTACGTAATAAACCGAGAATCTGCAATGTGATGAAAAGGACTGAATAGACAATGCGGTACGGGTAGAATCTCGACAAGCAATGTACATTCTCATTCATACATAAAGATGCTGAAGAGCGCAGGGAAGACTTTGAGACAAATGAAACAGTTTTCACCTTTGGCAGTAGCCGATGCAGATCCCAGGGGTCGATCCTTTGACCTCAGCTTACCTGTGTATAGTATCTGCACAGTTCCCTGGAGTCGAACCCATGACCTGCACGATAGCCAGTGGTAAGTAGGWCGCCGTAGGTTGTAGGCTGTAGGGAGAATCGAACTGTAGACCTGTAAGGTAGGAGTCCAAGTAGAGTCCAGAGGCCTAGCTTTAGTCCTTCTAAAAGGTCGGCAAGTGGTCAAGTGGTGAGTCTAAGGTAGGCCCACGTTTTCAGACGAAGACAAGTGGCAAGGTCAACAGACAGGACCTCAGTGCAACTGCACTGCGTCGACGGTACGACTGCCTACAGTCAGGAGGGGTCTAGAGAGTCCCAGTCCAGTCCAGCAAGTACCACAGGGGGACTGTGAGCACCAAGGGCCGATGGCAAAGGGCAGACCAACGAATTTCTGAAGTATAAATCAAGAGGCAGCACCCAGCCATTCATTCATTCCTGCGTGAGCCATGCGAAAGCGCTGCCACAACGACTTGTGCAAGGAGGTCTGCAGATGAGCCCGGAGGACGCAGTGGGCAAGAGAGGAGGAGTTAGCATAGCGATAGGCTAGAGGCAGCCATAGCTGCCATAGCTGTAATTAGTAGTGAGTGTATGTGTGTGCTCGAGTGTTAGAGTGATGCGTGTGGGATATCCAGGGTGATCCAGTGTATGTGAACAGTGAGATGTTTGGGCGCTG